TATATATATATATATATATATATATACATACATCAAAGGACTTATAGGAGGAAATTATTCTTTATAAGTTTGTTTAATCATTTAGAAACCTACTTGAAACATGTATACATATCATCATACTTGAAAATATATACAGCGTTTGGTGGATCCCTTACGTCGCATTCATAACAATACGATGGAAAGTGAAAGTTACAAGATCACAATGTGCGAACATTTCTATGAATTTGAAGAAGACAATAAGTCATTATCATTATATAAAGAATTTAAACACTCATCACGTTTTTTAATTTTTGACTTACGTGGGTCTTTGACTAAAACATACCTTAGCTGGCTCAACTCAGTATTCCTTAGTCATTGGAACACATAAATTAACGATGTCAATTGGGGAAAATATTAGCCCTTTTAAGGTTTCTTTATGACATGAGCTTATGATTAAGTATTTGTTATCGTTAGGTTGTTATGTCCGGCCGCTGGACATGCTTCTCCTTAAGGAACAGAGGCTTTCATCCTTGAAATTTTTCTATTTATTTTCCTTTCCCGAGTAACATCTATAGATAAGCACGAACTAAAACTATATACCACACGCAGTAAATTAAAAGGAATTTCTTGAAGGTGTATAGGATTTAGTAGTAAGGATAAATTTTGGAATTCTTTACGGGCCAATAAATCACTTATTTGCCTAACTCAATGTACAGATTTTACACCCCCACTGAGGTACGGCAGCACGCCTTCAGTGATGATGCATACGTTTCGCTTAATGGAAATGTTCTCGACCTCACACTCCTTATCAAGACCTATAAGGCTCGCCCCAAGTTTGAGCACCTGGTGATCCCTCTTGTTCGTGCAGCTGGCTCTGACATTTCCCATTGGTGGGATCCTACTGCGGATGACCTGAAGACGTGTGTTAACGTAGTAAGTGGTATGCGCACCTATGCACAACCGGACGGACGCTTTCCACACGTACCCACGATTTTTCCCGACAGTAATATAGACCTCGAGTATGATATTCCGTGGTGGAAAGATGCCCAGTATATTATTGGCAAGCTCACCAAGAAGACGAGGCTAGTACGTATCATTAATACCCTGACGCATGACGAGATCACCCTGGAGGTCTGTTGCGAGGAAACGCTGCAAAATATACTAGAGGAGAGGTACTTAACTTACAACGCGCATGCCCGAAGCTATACCTGGCGGCGGTTGGTACCGGAGCCGCACGACCTAGACATGGAGTTAACCCTCGATGAGAATGGCATCCTAGACGAATCCGAGGGTTTTGAAAAACTAGGGCTCAATGCGGACTATTACATTCCTGCCATTCATCTCTACTATGATGATGATTTAACCATTGCATGAGGAATTATAAAGGGAAAATTTGTCCGATTCGATCCTTTTCCCTTCAAGCGAGGGATGTGTATAGTACGCTCCTTTCACAGTGTACTGAGCAGAGAAAAGGAAGTTAACGTTTTCTTTTCTTGAACCGTTTGCTTTGATGTAAACATATAGCCATTTGTATAGCAACATTTCTCAACCAAACAAGAGAATGTGCATTCAAAATATCAGGCGAAACGACATCTGTGTATTATTGCCCTGTAATCTCCCTTGTAAATGCTATGATAAGTCAATTTCAACTTCCTTTACATCCACACACATTACCAGAAAGCCTACAACCCATATAAAATTACATCGAAATCTAGCTTTTGAAAAAGTATCTCGTTTTTTTCACCTCGGACGCAATACTGTCTTATAGAACTATTTTTATTCTAGTACTATCGCGATAACTTTTAGAAAATATTGTATTCTTTTTGGCTTTACTGTTTTTTGCATCATCGACTGAACATCTGAGCAAATGCTTCGCATTAGTTATTCAGCTCTCAGCACTGCCTCAGTGGGTGCTGCCGCTCTGCGGCTCAAAGACATCAACGATGTCTTCCGAACGGCCCAGAAGGTGTGGAATGTCGACTTCCAAGGGGGGTCGGCTACAACGAAAACACTTGACTTCCGCTATAATCGCTCTCCGGCGGTGCCGTTGTTCCACATCATGGACCTTGATGGTGGTATCTTGTTGAATGAAGAGTCAACCTCCGTTAACGGCGATCACGACCCATTGTTCCATTTCAAGCCCAAGGATGAGGAGAGTCTAATATCGCGCCCTTTGGCGGAGCGAATGCTTCGAACGATGATTGTTCAGAACACCGTGGATAAGATCCTCCTCGAGGCGCAACGCCAGGGACGCATTAGCTTCTACATGACCATGTTCGGTGAGGAAGCAGCTGTCACAGGGGCTGCAGCGGCTCTGCAAGATCAAGATCAGCTTTATCTGCAGTACCGTGAAGCGAGCGCCCTAACATATCGCGGTTTTACGATAAAAGATGCTATCGCGAAGTGCATGGGGAACACCGATTGTAAACATAAAGGTCGAATGATGCCCATGATTTATGGTTCTGACAATATCAACGCGCAGATGATATCCGCGCCCCTGGCTACGCAGATACCTCAAGGGTCCGGCGCTGGCTACGCGCTTCGCTTGGAGAACGAGGAGCTGCTCAAGGGTCTGCCTCCCGGGACGGACCTCTCACAGGTTCCTGGGGCGCGTATTTGTGCGACCTTTATGGGTGAAGGTGCTACAAGTGAGGGCGACTTCCATGCCGCGCTTAATTTTGCCAGCACGGTAGGCTCACACACGTTATTTTTCGTGCGGAACAACGGATACGCCATTTCGACGACTACCTCCGAACAATACCACGGCGATGGAATTCTATCGCGAGTCGCAGGCTACGGCATGCCAGGGGCGCGGGTGGATGGCAACGATATTCTCGCCGTGTATCATACCGTGCGTCAGGCGCGAAAGATAATCTTAAGGCATAACTTACCAGTCCTTGTGGAGGCTTTTACGTACCGCATGGGCCACCATTCCACGTCTGACGACAGCACCGCCTATCGCAAGAAGGAAGAGATCGAATTCTTCACTCGAAACCTCGAACCGATCAAACGTTTTGAGCAGTTTATGATTCGTCGTGGCTGGTGGGACGCGGATCAGTCCGCGAGTGTGGTGAATGAGACTCGCAAGGAAGTGATGAGTGAGCTGCGACGCCAGGAAAAGTTGCCCCACTGGCCGGTCGAGACGCTCGTCGATGACGTTTTTGACAAACCAACTCCACATTTAGATCAACAGAAGAAGCAGTTGATCGAACACTATGAGCGATACAAGACACAGTACGATAAGGAGAGAGATTAGTCATCCAAATGTAAAACGATTAAAATATATATGCTGAAATACACAAAACGAGCGTATTAATGAACTTAAGATTTACGATCTGCTTTTCCACTTTTTTTTTGTTTTAGCTATTTGTGCTTATTCATTGGGTAGTGCGATTATATGTTTGATATATTTTATCCCAAGTCTTTACAAGCTTTTATTTAAGGTACAATGGATGCGTTATCTTCCCTGCACTTCCTTGAAAATATCATAATATTGAGGAGTGAATATGGGGTATTCGTTTCTTTGGCAATTCACTTCGTGGAAAAAAGACTTTAATTTTATGTATTTTTCTTATGGGCAAGTTACTTTCTCCAATGTGCATCCTTGGCACTAGAGATAATTCTACACTCTTGACAATGTGTACTCTTTCTTTTAATCAAAAAGTGAAACAGGAAGCTAAGTCACCAAAAAAAAAAGTCAAGGTAAATTTTTAAAATCGCATAGGTATATCTATATAGATATATTATTTCAATTTCTTTCAAGGGTATGGAGCTTGGTAACCAGAATGACGATGCGGCACCGTGGTTTAGCTTACAAGGCTCTGCTGCCACGCCTGCCTCGTAATCTAGTTGTTTTCGATGGACATTGTTTGCTATCTCAAGCCCGTGTCCGTTACGTTTTAGAGCGAAACTTCAACTATCTTTCAATTCCTTCTTACTTACTTGGATACACGCAAGACACAGGCTTGGAGCGACATCGAATTTATTTCACTTCCTTCAGCTCATTAGAAGGAAATGAACTCAAGCGTCTTTTTTTCCCTATTTCGAACTCATTGAGGAAGACACCTTCAACGGGCACATCAACTTCGAGTCTCCCCTTGTCTTCTCAACCATCACGTTTGCCGGATGATTTAGTAATTCTGTTTGTTGAGAAGGTACCCTCGAGGAATGCATCTCTTCTGCATCAGGCAGGCGGCCACCGTGCTCACGAGGACCGCAACGCCGCTCTTTTTGCGCCGGCTTCATCAAACTCATCGTCATCCTCATCGACGGCAAGATTTTACTTGTTTAGAGACAATCGCCCGAGACGAAAGGGTGACCCTCAAATGGATGCTGGAACGCTCATTTTCCCTGAGGATACTGACCTGCTTGTTTCCACTAACTTCAGCGCCATGTGTCGTATCGGCATGCATCTCGACCGTATTTGGCTTCGAATAGTATTCCGCGTCCTGTACTCCATCATACCGAGGCGTTTGGGAGATGCATGGTTTGAGCGTGTCGTTTCGAGGCGTCGCAAGCTGATCTGGGGGACCTCAGAGGAGGACGCTGTCACCGTCCCAGGTGCGATTGATGGCATGAAGGAGAGACGCTGGTCGTGGCACAAAAGGTATGCATCCTAATGTTCCAAGCAAATGAAAATAATTACGAAGGGCGAAAAGCAAACAGTCCGCAGGGAAAAAAAGGAAGAAAGGCGCGGTGAAAGGGGAAAAACACGATTTTCCTTTTTTTTTTCGCCACTTAAAAGTATTTGAAAGAGTTTCTTCTCAGCATCGTTTTCCGCTTTTGACCTATTTATTTGCGCTTTTTAGTGTGAAATGGTGCAATTTTGAGGAGGCCCGTAGCGATGCATATTTTATATCAAAGTGAGATGTCGTTTGTGGTGCGCTTATTCAAGAGCGATGGTTTCTTTCTTATCATCACAGCACCACAATATTTATCATTATTGCCCTTCCCCTCTGTGTAACCTATAGCGCGTAAATCTACCTAATCTTAGTTGCTTGAATCCTAGCCCTCGAAAATTTCCTGTTTATGCTGCCGCTGTCAACGTTTAGGAGCAGAAGATCATGGGGCGTGTGTTGTTGCCCTCAATCCCTTCGCTTTCCATCTCGAGCTCTCATCGCAGTCGGCGCTTCTCCCTGCATTCCAGAAACACTGACCACATCGCGTCTATCTGTTTCTTTCCTGTCGGATCGCATTAGCGACGCAGTGGGAAAATCTATCAATAGACTTACGAATCGTGTCTTCCAGGATGAAAAGTTAGTAACGGAGTCACGTCGAAAGCTGGAGAAAGTAGCATCAACGAGTGAGAAGCTTGCGGAGCGTCTGGATCGGCAGCGCCGTGTCGGACAGCACTGCGTACCCATAGCAATACGCGTTGATAAGTCAAAACAGTACATCTATTTCACCTGGCGTGTTGAAGTGTTGACGGCACAAGAGAACAGAACCCCTGAGCAACCATCGCGTTCAATGAATAGTACATCTGAAGCGGAGTCGAACCTAGCAACAGCAGAACGGGGGGAGCAGTTGACGGCTGACAAGCATGTTACCCACGCCCTAGCCGAGTATCTTCGCGCCTACACTTCTAGCACGGACGGCAGTTATGCTAACAGCAACATTCTGATCTACGGTCGCCGCGGCATCACCATCGAGCATGTCTTTCCGGTTGGCAACTACGGCCTACGCATTGTCTTCTCGGATGGGCACACTGGCGGCATCTTCTCCTACGAGTACTTATACTTTCTGACTTGCTCGGAGAACAAGTACGGCCTCATGCGAGATTACATCAAGCAGCTGCGAGTGAAACGCAAGTCCCGGGATCCGCCTCGTCGGATGCCCTCGCGGAGAGAACTCCCGAAGGGAAAACGCCCCTAGGCTAAAAGCTGTGGCAAGGGGGGGGGGAGGGGACGACGGGTGATGAGGTGGTGTTTGAGAGAATATACAGAGTTCCTTGGGGAAACTCAAAAGGGGGGTTCAATGGCGTACTCACCGAAATGATATGCTTTCCTCAATGCACTTGATCTGTGTATGAAGGGTATCAATACGTTTTCCACCGAGGATCCGATGTACTCTTTGCCAATTATGCTATTCTTTATCGCATCTCTTCTGATCTAAAGTGGGGATTTCATTGTAATACTAAAGCTGCACCTAGTCGAATTGAATTCGTCTATATTTGCATGCTAATGTGCTCTTTGATACATATATATCTCTATATGTGTATATTTTGAAAATCGAGCACCAATCTGTTTTCCATTTTTCCTTCATCCAACCAGTATTGACGGGCCTTGAAGGAAAGAAAAAGGAAGACCCATTTCAATGGCAAATTCTAGCAATGTCTTCTGGTACGCAATCCAAAAGCACGAATACTTGGCTATGCTGGGCATACTCCTAGGGCAGAGGTGGTTCTTAGCGCCAATTCTTTTCGTTACACGCCTGACAGGTTACGCCGTAATGACGATGTGCATTGGACTCATAGGTTTAGCAACGATTACAATGGCCTGTGATGTTGCCCCATTAATTGCAGAGCCTGGCACGTGGAGGTATAGATCCTTTATTTGGATAATAGTTGTTGGTTCTTTTCAGATTTTCTTCAACTTCATCTCCGCGGCGGTGTTCTCCATGCGCTTGGGCAAGACACCCCCTACACAGCACTTTTGTCCCAACACCAAAGAAAACTTATTGCCGAATGTGCACGATGTCTTCACGAGCCGTGGATTCTCTATTGCCAGTACCTCTCGAGATGATGTTCGTTCATCTTCTAAGACCCATCTTTGTCGCCAAGGTGACGAAGAGGAGGATGATAGTAGCGACACGTCATCCGATGAGTCAACCAACTCGCGACCACTTAAGCGCCCATCTTGTTGTTCACACCTCCATAAGTACTTTCAGCAGCTCTGTCCACGAGGCCTTGCTCCCTCGCTGATATCTACTGAGGTGTTGCGAGAGTTGGAGCGTTTGAGTCTTACTGCAGAAAAATACACTCCAGAGGAGCGCCGTTATAAGCTGCTCGACGCGCCGCGGCGTCACTGCAAAACATGTTGCCGTCTCAAAGCCCCACGAGAGCACCACTGCAGTATATGCAACGAATGTGTGGCGAAGATGGACCACCACTGCATGTTCCTCAATAACTGTGTTGATGTTGAAAACCAGCGGTATTTTGTACTATTTGTCCTATGGTTCCATGTTATGAGCCTTTTTGTTGTGGGTTTTGCTGGCTATGCTTCGTTGCGCCAAATGATGTATGAGCACCAGCTCAAGAAGATCACGCAGCAATTTGCTCAGAACTTGGAGATGGATGGTCATACCGCTCTTCAGAAAGATGTGGTACACCTTCTCAACAACGCCCCATACGGTCCTGGTGGCTCCAAACTTCTCTCGACTCCAGTCATTCTAACCATTACTCTTGCCTGTGTTGCGGTTATTTTTACAGGCTTTTTTAATGTGCAAAACTTTCTTCAGATACGACGGAACGTGACGCCTATTGAGAGTATTACCATTCATCATAAAAGAAGATGGATCTTTTCGAGCACTAACTTCTCGTATCGTAGCCCATACGACTTGGGTCCGTGGCGCAACTTTATCGAAGTCTTTCGCACCGTTGATGACCCTGTCGTGCGGTGGGAGCTTGAAAAGACAGGGAGGATTGGAACCATAGGAGCGACCTCGAGAGTGGCAGGGATTCCTGTACCACCGCAAGGTTGTCTAAGATGTTTCCTTCACATCCTACATAAGGCGGCCGTGGGGATCTGGCTCATGGCGATTCCGTCTCTCCGACCAACTGGGCAAGACGGAATTCACTATCCTATTTATAGTTCTGAGATGCAAGACTACAATGGGCGAGTGTGACCATCTCAACTGACTCCCCTGTAACCCTCCTGTGAGAAGAAGTGGAAAGAGCAGTTTCTAGCCCTTATATTACATCCTTCATACCCTGCTCTTTATTAGGACTGTAACTGTTTTAAAGAAACCACATGTATGCATACGCGTCTATGTTATGACGCCCTGTACGATGTTGTGGTTATTAGCTTGGCCGAAAGGAGAAGTGCCTTCCTTCCCTCTTACATCCTCATTCATAGTATTTTGATACATATATTCAGTCGGTCCGAAGAGCACAGACTAAGAAAGAACATAAAGGAGGTGGGACGGTAATATAAGCTTTGCTATTCTCGCTTGTTTCAGCTTCTTCGCATCGCTGTATCTCGTTCTCTAGTATCGATATCCTAGAGTACGTATTTTCATAGTGAAGTGGTAAAGCGTGTGAGTTCCAAAAGGGAGCGTCCCCCACAAGCGTCACCGCGACAATGCTGCTTATCATTACCAATGGTATAGTTTCTGCCATTCTATTTTTCCTGGCTATATTTCCACCTTTATACATCAACAGATCATTTTCACCTGAGGAGGACGCTTCTTCGTTATGCATCAATGAACTCTGCTCTGATAGCACTATGAGTAACTCCGTAAAGCAAAAACTTTATTTATTAGTCATTATTCCCTTGTGTGTGACGCTTAACTGCATCTTTCTCTATTTTAGCTACTATCGGTCCATCCGGTTTATTCAGTTCCGTGTTGAACTAAATATTATATCGCTTTACGAATACCGAGGGGAGGTACAGAATATGCACGGCACGCTAGATGGCATTCCTCCACGAATCCATGGTCAAGCAAAGTTAGGTCGCAAAAGTTTTGGTAATGCAGTTTTGCCACCCATGCAGCATCGCAAACCCAGCACGATACCGAATGGAGGCACCGAATTGAATGCCTATAATACTGCTAATAGTGCTAACGCTGCATCGAGCTTTGATTGGCGTGCACGTGCTGAATTCATTCGCTACACACGACCAAAGAACGTCAAAAAGGACGCATATGTTATTCATGTCTTTTTCCCGGAGATTCGAGACCTTTACATTGAGGTTGAAAATATATTCTTCACACCCGCCATGATAGCGGAGAAAAACTTCCTCACCGTCAGGGATAAACTAGTGAACTCAGCGGGCTCTCTTCCTACTGTCAACCCGAAACCATCGAGGTCTACCGTGGAGCCAATAACGAAGGGGCATTATAATTCAAAGCACATCCCCGTCCTCTTGCTAGGGGCTTCTGTACGGAAACAGCTACAACAGCAACAGCAAAAGCACCATACGCGTGAGTTCCCCTTCTCCACACACCCAATGGGCACAAGTACTACCGTCCCTGTAGCCATGGCCTCTGATACCGACGATTTTCACTCGACGGTGCTAAGGCTAACAGATATGAAGGGCAACGTGAGACCCCCGTTTACTGAGAGCCAACCTGCTATCGACAGCGATGAATTTGAAGCGTCGGAGGTATCACCAACCATGCTTCCTAAAAAAAGAATACACTAACGGCCTCCCGACAGACCTATTATCCAGGCAGGGTACAATGAACTCTCTCTGAAGGGGAGTCGGCATGTGGGATGTTTAGAGGTGCTAATCGAGCGGAGAAAAAGACAGTTTCACCTTATGGAGCCTTTTTCCGGGGGTTAGATTACAGAACAGAGGAGATTTCAAGTATCTTGATGATATAGTCTTTGGCACTTATTGGGAGTCGTGTGATTTTGGTATACTTTAACTCATATCGCGGCAGGTTCTGTAGTCGGAATAGAAGTTAGTATAATTTGGAAAGTTCCATGGTGGTCCTCAGGCTATCCCTAAATCTACCTACACTGGAGTGATTTACTTTTTGTGTGTATACGTATCTGTGACTCGTGGTTTTGTTGTATCTATTTCTGATTCAGTTTCAGTTATTGCTTATTATTAAAAATATCTTTCCTTACCTTTTATGCACTTTTTGTTGCTAGAAAATATTGCTTGGGCTTGCTATTGTGGCATTTATGAGCCTAAGTGAGTGAGGCAAGTTTTACAAAAAGATAGTGTCTTGGCAGTTATTCTAAAAATAATTTACCGTCTGCATCTAATGACCTTGAGGCTTCTTGTTGTACTCATGTCTGTTCTGTTTCTCATATGCACAGCAGCTCTGCACGTAAGTTCTCCGGATGGTGGTATTAATGACACCGTTTCGCCCCAATTCAAAGGCTTTCATTGTCAGAGATCCTTCTCAGCGATGAGTTCGTTTAGATCGTTTGGGGGTCGGGAGGCCCAAAAGAACTGTGATTTCTATTATTTCGAAATCGAAAACGCGTCAGCGAAAGTGCAGTGCGAGGTTCCAAACACACAACAATCATCTGAAGCAGGCTTAGAAATGCCTTTGAACTGCAGCATTGAACTTAACATAGTGGCAGAGTTGGCCAAAGATGTCTCCGAACGATTCGCACACCGTGTGGGCAGCGTGGCGCATTATGCAGACATGAATTCGTCTCCTTCGGCTATGCGGGCGGTATTGCTAGATTCCGATGATCCGTGGAGGTACTCCTTTGAGCTTCGCTCCACCCTAGGGCGGGGTACTGCGATAAACTATAAGGGCTACAATGGTCAAGGCTACAGCCTCTGCTGCAGTGCGATTCCGGAAGCAAAATGCGAATGGGTCCATGAGGAAGAGGGCGATCTTTCCTTTGGAGCAAATGAGTCTCTGGGAGAGATGAAGGAAGAACGTCAAGCTACTGCACAACTGGTGCTGTCGGAGTGCCCCCTACCACTGCCGACACCGAGAGGAGAAAGTCATCCCAACTCCTCTCCTGTAGATTCACCGCCAGGGCGTGAGTTTTTTTATATAAGGGTCAGTCGTCCCCTGCATCGATTCGTTCCGGGACCATGGGAGGCAAGGCTCATGCTGTGGCGTCAACGCATGTCGTTTGCTGCTGGAGCGAAGGGCAAGGACGGCACGCTGTCTACGGCAGACCCTGAGGTACTGGGGCGTGTAATCGTGCCGTTCGAGCTGCCCGAGGCAGGAACAAGCGAAATTAAAGATGATAAGCACCAACCCTTGCTGCCAGTCGTCGCGTTAACAGGTGCCGAGCCCAAGGAAGGGAACATGATAGGGGATCTGTAACCATCACATGTGAAGGGTGTATATCGCGTTGGAGAAGGTGACCGTGAGTTGCGTACCTCTTCATGCTGATAAATGTGCGTTTATATATATATATATATATATATGCATCATTAATGTAAATGATTACACACTTATGTCCCTTCTCATCGACCCATGCCACAATTCGCTGTTGATCTTTATCAACCTGGGCTTTCTGGTCGCTTTACTGAGCCTTCCTCCTTTAGTTGCATATTGTGGGGCGCGAGCTTTCAGGTTATTTGGAACATTCTTAAGAGATCTCGCTACCTGTGAGAAGTTAATCTTAGAACAAGGTTGTCATTAAAACTTAGCGCAAAATTGCCTCAGAGTATTTTTTTTACTTTTACTTGGAACACACTGAGGATGATGGTGAGTCATCCGGGGTTCAGCCCTGTTCCTCCACTCTCTAAATCCTCTGTGTGGGCGTTATGGTGTAGAATTTAGTCCATTCAAGGTGTAAAGTTTGGGCATTTATGATAACGAGTATGTTTCGTGCAGTTTAGCTCTCGTTACTCTTTGGATTGTTAAGGATTCTATAAAGCACTTTTGATCTCAATTGTATATCTTTTCTTTATGGCTTACTGTCTCTATTTGAACATGACTTCTTTGTTTCCCATCTACTTCAATATTTGTTATTAAAAATAACTTCTGTATAACCTTTTTGCTCACACGTTTTCACCCTTTTGATATGTTTTGCTAAAATTTAGGAAGTCCTACAAGCGTATATCTATATACACATTTATATTTGTTTTTTTTTGTTTACCTATAAGGCGATTGCTTTTAATTTGTCTATCCCATTAAAGAAGGAATCAATATATAGAACATTTTAGGATCGTATCATGCCCCTTCGGATTAATCAAAATGTCAACCAAACTCCGAGAACCTTGCCTGCTGATGCACCGAATAAGAGCAGTAACACACCCGCTAACGTTTCAAAAATAGGAAACTGTTTCGCAGAAAAGAGATATGTAGCTGAGAGTACCAGTGACATACGCAACAGTGGCATATCTGACACAACCTTTGAGAGGCATGAGTCGACGGCGGGCTACGTTAAGCGCAGCCTGAACTCCAGCAAACCCAATTGCATCCCTGTAATCTCTCGTAAAATATCGGCACCGTCAATTGTGAAGTTACGACGCAACCAACCTCGCGATTTTAAGAGGAAACCAAAAGTTGTGAACACACCAGATATGGAGCCAGGTGAAGCGCTATACATTTCCGAATCTCTCTCTGTGCGTTTGTCATCAAAGGAAAATGCGTTGTCGGCCTCTCCGATGTCTACGAGCAGCGTTAAACAGCAGCAGTCTTCGAGCCAACTAACTCTTCCGTGCGCGCCAGCGCCCTCCAAAGACTCCAGTAAAGCTGGCCCGGATGATAACAAGCTACGAGACCCTAAGGATCTGATAGCAAAAGCTGCCAAGAAGCAGTCCAGGACACTGGTACGCTCAATCTCTGCTCAGCCTATTTTTGCAGAGAAGGGCAATAAATATGTGGCCCCAGCAGGGGCTGCCAGGTATAAAGTGGGTGCGGTTTCTCACGTCACGCCTTCTTTCCATGACAGCGACATGGGGGCCCAAACTGAACAGCTCGATCAAATGGAGGCAGTTATGGATTATATTAAGCATATTTCAGACGCACTCGCACGGCGTACGCGTGGCCTGCCACCGCCGGCACATCTTGACACTTTTCGAGCCACCATAACGCCCCAGTCGAGGCAAAAACCCCTCGGCAGCGAGAAGAACGTTGAGAACCACACCAACAACATGCTTTCGAATCTAAGGGAAGCTGCTACCATGCTTTTAGCGTGGTTTTCCAAAGTGGAGTACCTAAACCTTTCTCAGAATGAGCCACTAAGGAACTTGGAGCTTCAGACACTAAACTCCGGCGCACGTGTGTTGGGGCTTGTGGAGGCGGTTGAGCGCAACTTCTTAACGCACGAGCTGAGCGTAGTGCGCGAGGCCTTCTTCAGTAGCGGAGGATACTTGGTCGTAACGGAGTGCCGTGAGCTTATCGATGCCATGACCCAGACCGCTCAGCATATCGTGCTTCTCCGTCAACTCGTTCATGAACGGGACCTTTTCCGCGTTCGCGATCTCTTCGAGATGCATAAGGACTCCATTAAAAAGCGCTTGGAGAATGCTTCATCGAGGAGATCTGCGCAGTATCAGGAGGAAATGCTCAAGGGACCGTTTTTTATCTGGCTAGAACGGCGCTGGCTACCAGCAATGCGTTCCTGGCGGCGGATTGTCTTAGAAGCCCGCCAGCTCGCCATCGGTGGCGATATTCAGGCCGCCCTGATACACTCGCAGAACGAAGCATTTGGTGTCGCAGCCTTGCAGGATATCCTGAGACCTGGTGAGACCATTCAAGACCTGCACAAGACGCAGATTGAGATTCCCATCGTGGAGCTTGCCAAGGTGCTTGAAAGGAAAGAAGAAAGCATGAACACCTTGCGGGCTGTGATGCAGAGAAACAAGGCGGCTACCGACACGGACAAGGTGGGGCCTGGATTATCTGTATCTGTGGCTGAGTTGGAAAAAGCTATCCAATCTTGTCGTGATGTTATGGGCCATGATAATAACAAGGGACCAGTGGACGATCAGATAGGACAGGTACTCGCAGAGGCCGAGAAGCTTCTATTAGACATGCAGGAAGTTGAGAAGACACGCCAAGCCCTGGCTGCGGAGCTGGCCACAGACGGTTCTGGCGGTGGGGTGCCACTGTTCCTGCAGATTCACAAGGCAAATGAACTTATCCACAGGCTTCATCTCGCCGAGAGTGCGTCTGATGCCCACAATGTTGTGAGCTCCTGTCGGACGGCAGTTACGAAGTTTGTGGAAGCCGATACGAAGAGTAGTAAAAGTAAACATAGCAATCGACACAGTGCACGACCTGCATCCCTGGTAGATTTGCTTCCACCAAATATATCCATATATGAAGTGTCTTTGGCACATATGCCCTCGCATGTGTGGCCTCTATCGATGGTGATATTATACAAACAAGCCTGCTCGCGACTTGTAGAGCTATTTACGTACGAGGCGGCTTGTCGGGGACTCGAGCGGACGCTAGGTGGTATCCCTGGAACATCACTGTCCCCTATAAGCGAGACCACAAACACTCCTAATCCCACAGTCGTGCATAACGCTAACGCCGATGATGCGAGTAGCGCAATCACTGACAGTACGATCCGAAAATACGAAAGCAGCCGCCACAGTGTGCTATCAGAGCGAAGCGCTATCGCGTCGCTTGAGGCTCATCTACGCCGCTCCGATAAATCCGCTCTTTCAGCCCCGCTTCCTGCCGACCTGCGTTCATCTTTAGCGCAGACACTTACACTAAAGTTAAAGGTTCATTTCGAGGCACAGACTCGAATTGTTCACGTTCATGAGGCTGATAAAACGTCTTTCGAAGACGTTTCAAAAAGGTTGTACAAGCAGTGCTGCGAGCTCTTCGCTATCATGCACCGATCTCAGTCATCTTTCCCACCGGACCCGCGAAGGCTGCGCATTCGGTACGAAGACACGGATGGGGACTTCATCACGTTACTGAATGATGAGGACTGGCGGGTGATGCTGAGCGAATTGCGTCTCAGTTCAAACTTACGTCTTAGTTGTAGTGGTGGTGACGCACCGCGTGTCGTTCCCACAAAGCTGGAGGTGTACTGCGATTTTATTCTCCTTCCTGAAGATAACACAGGTGATTCCGCACAAGCTGCGACTCTTTCGTCAGGAAAACAAAGCGAACCGAACGTGAAATGCATCGACAGCGAAATCATGGACACAAATGACGGGAGCGTCAGCTGTGCACCCCCGGAGCATCAAATGCCTGCGAAAAAATTAGAGAAATTACCTCACGAGGGTCCAGCGATGATGCGTCTGGATGCGCTGAAGCGCACCCTTTTGTTGAATTCGGGAGAGAAAAATCCTTTAAAAAATCGCAAGGACCGAGTCCGCGGCCCTGTTGGACGTTCCCGGAGTGCTCAACCGATTTCAAATACATCGTCAAGACAGCATGGGAGATCGGGGCGGAAGCCTGAGCCGATACCTTCATCAGGACGCGAGGACTTTAGTCCGCCAAACCAACGCAACAGGGCAGCAAAGAGTGCACTTCGGGATCTGACGCCAAGTCGGGGCTTTCCCCTCACAGCGATGAATCTTTCCCAGCATCGGAACGAGACGGCCATCTTGAAGGAAAAGATACCTTCCAACGATACGTCTAACAAGCCTGGGGGTCGTGTAGAAAAGGATCACACACCCCTGGTGCATGAAGAGCCTGTCGATCTCGACAAGTTCTCATCTCAGCAGAATCCTATGCAGCTAGACTTACATACCAACAAACGTTGGGATCAAGAAGGGGAGGACGAGACGGTTCTGGAAATGCAAACCGTCGCCTCAATGCTTACCTGTGCGACGAACCGATCCACCGTGATCCTGACTCGTCTCGCTACCGAGGTGAATACGAACCGAGCGCACCCGTCCGGGGAGACAGAGCCGCCTCGTTTGCCCACGCCACCCCCTCCGGAGCCAGGGGCGTCGCCTTTGGCGGAGGGAAAGCTGGCGGGACCTCCGGGTGTGGTGGAAGGCCGCGGGGTCGCCCCCAGTACGCGCCCCCCCCTCCCGAACCCACGGCTGCGCCACGCGAGCCCGATGAGCCGCTACGCGCCGCCCGACGAGACGACAGAGGCGGAGGTGACAGGTTCAAGTGACAGTGACAAGGAGTCTTTTGATCCCTTTCAGGAAGCCTTAGCGGCCCGGCATCGGGACCCGGCGGAGGTGTTGCAAGAGATGCGTGCCATGCGGGAAGAAAACCAGCGCGCCTTGTATGGGCGAAAGCTTATGTGGTAATCCTAGAGAATGCGAAAATGTTCAATGTGGGTGGGTTCAGCTCTTCCTATTTAAGCAAGTTCAAATGCTTTTTGTTGCGTCTTGATTATTATTTTTCCACATTGCTATTATTTCTTTCCTTGGCCTTCCGCTCCATTAACTTGTAAAAAATAATCTGGAGGTGGTTAAAGACATTCTTTTTTGCTCTCATTAAGAACAAAAGACTAAATGCTCACAAAATGCTCACTAGATTTGCACGTAAAGAGGGATATAGCGGTACTTACCAGCACTATATTGGCTCCCTTTGCATCTTGTAGTTCCAATCAGATATAAACAGAAGGACACTGATACACATAGAAACGATTTTGTACCGATTTAACGTGTTTTGTCAAACAACAGCTGCTCGAAAAGAGGACATTGAATAGGTTTATTTATGTACTTTCTTTTCCTTCTCTTCTTTGTTTTGCTATTGTGGGAATGTATCTAATTACAGGAGAGTTTTTGGAAACAAAGAATCTACTATTGCGAAAACGAATAATTTGAGGAAGCAAGTATATATATATATATATATATATATATACATAT